CCCCCGTTCATGCTCTGTCTCTCTCTGTCCCAAAAATAAATAATAAAAAAAAAAAAAACATTGAAAAAAATAAAAATAAAAAAAAAAATAAAATGTGGCAACAGAAGACAGCTGGGTTGATTCTCCTATCTGCTTCTGCATTTAATTTGCTGTGCTATTACTTGTCATGTAGGCTCCAGAAAATTTCACTATACACTCATGAAAGTCAGAGCGAGAAAGGTAAATAGTGCGTTAGGATTAACAGGAAACTAGTTTTTGACCTCACAAGACCCCCTATGACAGTCTCAGGAACCCCTTCAAGGTTCCACTAACTACACTTTGAGAACCACTACTCTGGACTACAGATTTCAGGCCCAAGACTCATGCCTTAGCCTCTGGAGAACACAGTCCATTTCCACAGCCCTATTTTCTTTTCTTTTTTAAAGTTCTATCTATTTAAGTAATCTCTACGCCTACTGTGAGGCTCGAACTCAGGACCCCGCGATCAAGAGCCGCATGCTCTTCTGACCGAGCCAGCCAGAGCCAGGCACCCCCTTTGGCCTATTTTCTGAGTTCAGATTCCAATAGCAAATTCCAGAATCCACTTCCCACACTCGGACCCCAGGCCCAGACCCTGGACTCCAGACGTGATGTTCCAAACTCCAGAATCCCGGTTACAAACCCAAGATTGTTGGTCCCAAGTTTCTGGCTCCAGACTTCAGTGGCAAGCGCCCAGCTGCTGTTTCTGGATGTTGGTCACTCTGACCCATCCACCGTGATTCCCAACTTCTTCCTTCAGAACTCTGCCTCTCTCGTTACTGCCTTTTGGCTTCCAGGTGTGCAAAACAGCAGGCTCTCGGGGCCTGGCCCCTCATCACCACCAAGTCCTTGGGCTCTTTGTCAGCCTCTCCTGCTGGTGCCAGGGCACGAGGGAGGGGGCGGGTAAGGCCGGTCTGTTAATAAGCCAAGGGGTGGAGACATGGGTGGAAAATCAAACAGAGAGATGGACAAAGGAAGAGTCAGAAAGGAGGTGGAACCAGAAAGACAGAGAGAGAGATCTAACTGAAACAGAGCTGGGCAGAGGGAGGAAGGCCGAGGAGAGAAAGGAACAGACATCGAAAGGCAGAGGGGCAACTGGGTGACTCAGCCAGTGAAGCATCCGACTTGGGCCAAGGGCATGATCTCACTGCTCATGAGCTCAAGCCCCGCTTTGGGTGAGCTCAAGCCCCACTCCAGGCTGGGAACTCTCTTTCTCCGTCTCTGTGTCTCTGCACCTCATGGGATTCTCTCTCTCTCTCTCTCTCTGCCTCTGTCTCACTTGTGCTCTCTCTCAAAAAATAAATAAAAGAAAGTTATTAAAAGAAAGAAAAAAAGAGACAGAGAGGAACCCAGAGAAAGGAGGAGGGAGGAGGAGGGAGGGGAGGAAGGGATGGAGGCAGAGAGGAGGGAGGGAGGGACGGAGTCTGAAATGGCCAGAGAGCACCCCCTCCGACTCCCTGCGGGACAGGTGGGACAAGATTTTGTAGGTCTTCAGCTTCTAAAGAATACTAATAAAAAATACAAGATTGCCAGTGTAAACTTGTATAGGAACCTGGTTATTCTAATGAGAAAAGAAATACAAAATACAAATAGCAAATCTACGGGATAAAAAAAGAGTAACGGCAAATGACATGTTTGAAATCATCTCGAGGCGCCTGAGTGGCTCAGCCGGTTAGACGTCCGACTTCGGCTCAGGTCATGATCTGGAGGTTCATGGGTTCGAGCCCCGCATCCGGGTATGCGCTGACAGCTCGGAGCTGGATTCTGTGTCTCCCTCTCTCTCTCTCTGCCCCTCCGCCGCGCGTGCTCTCAAAAATAAATAAACGTTAAAATTTTTAAATACAAAATAATACATAAAAAAATCATTAAAATTTTTTTTAAACTATGCCTAGTAAAAGAAAATAGTAGATCAGGAAGCTATTATGAACCCAGGCACCAACTGTGGGCTTCCGTCATTTGCCCACAGGGGCGCTGCCTGCGGCCCACTGCCGTTACGGTATAAAAGGCTCCCGCGTCCCAAGGCGGTAGGGCTAGGACGCCACAACGCTCGGATCGGGGACCTGAGGGAATGGGGGGCTGGAGGGTTTGCCCTCTTGGATCTCGTGGGAAGTGACGGACGGGGTTCTGGATTCCTGGTCGGAGAGGGGAAGAAAAGGGCGGGTCCGACTGCCGCTCGAGCCATCGTGAGCGGTTTGGGACTTTTAGGTAGCCGAGAGGCAGAGTCAGGGATGGCGCCCCGGGGTCTGGGGAGAGGTATTGGGATCTCCAGATTCCCGAAGGGTCAGAGGGCCCCAGGTCGCCCACCGGTTGATCGTTCTCTCCTCTCTCCTCACTCGGTGTGCGGGTAACCACGCGGGCGCACGCCTCCAGGCCGGTGCCCCTGGACAAGCATCATCAGCGCAAAGGCAATGACTGAAAGCACCAGTGGGGGGCTCCAGGCGTCGGCCACGACCGCGCTGAGGTGCGCGCACCACGTCCCTCGCAGCCACTAGCCTGACCGCGAGGCTCCTTCTTTGGTGCCCTCCGGCGTGCTGCTCACGCCTGCCCCCTTGTGGACGCCCGCCGCGTGGCAGCTGGCTGAGCCCTGGTGTCTGACCAAGAGCCCGGGGCCACAGGGAACCCTGAGTTGGAAGACGTTGAGAAGAGCCAGATGCCCACAGTTTATGAAGCCTAGACTCCTCGGCTTCTGGGCGGAGGGACCCGAACTTAATGGGTCCACTGCAAGTCCACCGGCCTCCCCAGCGACTCTCCTCCATGGTGCATTGTGCCAACCTGTATCGCGGGCTGGGGGCATCATCGACCCGAATGATACATGCCAGGGCGACCTCGCCGACTGCATCCAGGACACCTGAGTCTGAAGGAGGAGGAGGCTGGAAACTGACGCCTCTCGGTCCTCGGGAGGAGGGGCTGAGGAGCCAGATGATGTCGCCCGCACCCCTGTCCCTCCATTGCCCGTAGCCAGAAAGCCAAATGATCTCCACTGTGTGGACCTCAAACCTGTCTAACGACTTGTGTGCCAGATACCTCGCCCAGAGGGTGACAGACTTCATGCTGTGTGGCGGGGAGTAAGAGGACAGTAAGGACACCTGCCTGGAAAAGTGGTTAAAATGAAAGGAGTCAAGATGGCAGAGAAGTCGGGGGGCGCGAATTTCCCTCCTCCCTCAAACTCGGCAGTATTGAGGTCAGAGCACTTGGAATTCCAGGAATCCGGGCTACAGAGTGACAGAAACGTCTCCAGGGGTCCACGGAGACAGCTTGGCGGGACAGAGGATTTCTTCAATGAACAAATCAAAGCACACCTAGTGGAAGATCCAAACCACCACTCTGAGTAGTGACATAAAGCAACCAGAGACACAACAACAGAGAGCACACAACACTGCAAAGACACCTGCCTGCTGGCCACCTGGGCTGGGGGAGGGGACCAGATTCAGAGCTGGGGTGGAGGGCTCACCAGGCCCAGCTGTAGCCCCGCCCCCCAGGGCCTCCGCGCCTGCCCTACCCTATCCCACGCCCCATCCGGCACTACCCGCACCTCCGTCCACACCACAGTCCACCCCCCTCTCCGTGCAGCACGTATCAGCTCAGCATCCATCACGTGCCCAACACCAACCTAGCCCCTGAGAAGCCCGCAGTGACCAGACAGAGAACAGCGCCCCTCCTGGGGCCCCACTGTGCCAGGGGGCACAGGCAGAAACAGTGAACCTGACCCAGAAGGGATAGTGCATGTCAGGAGGTGGCCCAGTGGCGCTGGGGGAGACAGCAGGTGTGAGGGGGAGGAGAAGGAGTGCAGAAGGGGAGACAGGGAGGAAACACCTGCAGCAGGTGAGGGTGAGCTGTGCGGCGCGGAACGTGGGGGAAGAGGAGGCCGGGAAGGCGGGCCTGGTGTGTGTGAGGGTGTCAGCGGGGCCAGTGTGGATGGAGCCCAGGGAGCAAGGGGAGGGGGGAAGGTGACGCCAGAGGGAAGAAAGGGGCCTCACCTGGCACCACGGGGAGGACGCGGCCGTTCCTCTGAGGGACCCAGGGGCCGTGGGCGATGTTGAGCAGAAGCAGGACAGGGCCTCACCTCACGGGTCCCTCGGGCATCTGTGCGGGGGGTCAGACCACAGGGCTGAGGAGAGGCGGAGTGAGGACTGGGCTAGCGGGGGCGCAGGCAGGGAGGGAGAAGGGGTCCACTCCTGATACCTCTAAAGGGAGCCCTCAGGGTGTGCTGAGCGAGTGCGAGTGAGGAGAGGGGCAGATGGGACTCAGGATGATCTGAGCTCTGGCCCCAGTCTCTCAGCTGAGCAGCTCCAAGGACACATCTACACTCACGACGTCCCCCCCTCACAACACGCAGGTGGGAGCCCAGCCTCTCACCTCCTCAAGCCCCACTTGAGCCCAGCATTTCCCACCAAGAGCCCTGCTCTTCCTCTTCCACCCCCTGGGTCTGTGAGCCCCCCAGTCTCTGGGGCACACCCCTAACTTCCCCTCCCCCAACCCATCCCTCCCCAAGCCTGGTCCCTCCTGCCTCCCGGCTCTCACGGACTGTCCCCTTCTCTGTTCCTACGCCCCAGCCCAGATCAGGCCTTTTAGCACCTCCAGACTTCTTCACCCGCCTCTGTCCCTCATCCCCCCCCTCTATCCCATCCCCGTCCTGCCCCAGTGGGTCATTCTAAACTCAGAACTGACCTTGCCCTTGCGTGCTCACTTCAGGGCAGTGCTACAAGCAGTGAGCCCCTTGCTCTAGGAACTTGAGCTGACTCTAGGAGCTGCCCTCCAAGAGTTGGACACGGCCAGGATTGGGGGCGTGGTCTCTCTGCTCCTTGGGGGGGCGGGGGAGGGAACTGGATGGGGGCGTGGCCTCACCTCCGGGGGGCGGGGCGGGGCCTAGGCCGGATGTTACCTGGGCAGGCCTAGGAGAGGGCCGTGGAATTAAGTTAAAATCTCTATTCGGGAGAGGGCTGGTCGCCCGGCTATGGAGACTTAGCACGGAGGGATGATTAGAAGCTGGACAAGAGGACCTAAAGGGTACGGCAGAGACTGGAGTCTGTTGTGATGGGAGATTCCTTCAGCTCTGGATCCGAATCCCAAATCAGCCTCTCAGGCAGTGCGTGAGATCAGGAAGGTTGTCTTTGAGCCCGGGTCCTCATCCTGGGGGTCCAGGATGGAGAGGCAATTGAAGGTGAGTCTGGGATTGAGGGCGGAGCCAGATTAGCAATGGGGACGGACGGACGGACGGACGTGATGAAGCAGTTGCCCAGAAGCTGACCTGCCCACTGGTCCTTCTTTGTGCCACACCAGAGAAAGCCGTTCCAGCAGTAACAGCCTCACGCTACTCAAGCTGAAAGCACCAACCAGCAACTCCGACGCCACCAGCTCCACCGGCAGCGCCCCAAGTGTGCCAGCCCAGGTAACCCTGCCTCATCTCCAGCTGGGTCTGGAGGAGGGAAAATGAGCCCTATCTTTAAGTGTCGCTGTGTCTCCATCCTTGACTGTCTCTGCTCTCGTCGTGTGTCCCAAGCCAGTCCTCCAGTGCTGTGGCGTGGCAATGTGCAGGAGGTGACTGAGGAGGTCAGCAAAGCCACCTGCTGGTTGCCGTACCCTCCCCGCACGCACATTCTGTTCCAGTGGGGCCCGAGGCGCAAAGAGAACAAGATGGGAGCGAGCGGGCCATGCACAAAGGAGGGAAGGTGACAGAAAAGGAGGAAGGAGATGCCCAAATTGAGATGAAGACGGGGGAGGAAGGGAAGCACTCGGAAAGGCCAGAGAAAGAGTAAAGAAAACAAAGAAATAGAGGGAACCAGAGGGGAAGAGAGAGGAAGAGGGATAGATGGAGAGACAGGCAGGCTGGGGGACACCCAGAAGGGCAAAAATTAGGGAGGAGCAAGGACAAGCACAAAGAGGGTGGAACAGCACCAGGGATGTGGCAAGAAAAGGCAGCAAGGGGCGCCCCGGGTGACTCAATCGATTGAGCCGAGCATCTGACTTGGGCTCAGGTCATGATCTCACAGTTTGGTTCGTGAGTTCGAGTCCTGCGTCGGGCTCTGTGCTGACAGCTCCGAGCCTGGAGCCTGCTTCAGATTCTGTGTCTCCCTCTCTCTCTGCCCCTATGCCGTTTGCGCTCTGTCTCTCTCTCTCTCAAAAGTGAATAAACGTTAAAGAAAAGAAAGAAAGAAAGAAAGAAAGAAAGAAAGAAAGAAAGAAAGAAAGAAAGAAAGAAAGAAA